AATAAAACCGAATTCCAAGAAACATTCACTCTTTGTTTTGTGAATAACATGCGACGGCTCTTTGGGTTTTTCGCCTCGGAAAATCGCCTACACAAAATGGGGAATGGGGTGATCAATTGGCGCCTGGCGGCACTCGGAACAATTTAAGCACGAAAACAGAAGGGGAGCATTTTCCGCACCAGACCAGACAGGTGGCCAAAATGCAGAGAGAGACCCCTAAAGTGTCCCATAAATTCATTAATTTGTCGCTACTTTTTTTTACCACTAGCATATTTGTCAGCTTTACGATGTATTTAATTCTAGCGTCGACGCATTTAAAACTAATGCGGGAAAATTAATACGAATAAATTCTGAGAATCGTGAAAATCGCAGGGGGGCGGATGAGGGAAGGTGCACCCGGCCGATCCTCATGAATGTCGTTATGGATGTTTGGGCATTTAAATTTAGCAGCCACCACGACGAGGCGACGATCAGCCCACTAAACGAGAATGTGACGAGAATGAATCAGCTTGAAATAGAAACAAAAATAAAACGGCGGCAGTAGCGCGATATTTATGGGAATACTCTCAACAGTAGGGGTATCATCAGTAAAGTTAGTGACGAGGTTGCTGCAAAGTAACGCTAAAATAAACACTTCACTTAAATAAATAGAAAGTAATGAAATCTTTCATTAATATCAATCATGTTACAATAATTACATTCATTATTCATAATAATTGATTTCAGATAAATTGCAAATTATATGCTTGCTATAAATGCAGATAATAATATATGATTAACTGATTTAATTGTTTTTGGAAAATTCAGGCACTATGAAATAGAAAATATCGTAGGTTATCATCTCAGGCAGTTTTTTATAACAATGAATTATTAAACATTAAACAGAATGACGTTCCTTGTAGAGCATTCAAAGTAACACAGAGCTAAGATACCAAAATAAATCTTGTTTTATATATACAAAATCGTACGATATCTCAGACAGATGCGATCTGGCCACCTCCCCCATTTGGCCAATCTATTTTGGTGGCCCGCACGACAAAAGCCAAAAGCGAAACAATTTGCGAATGTTTGGACCAGTCTGCTTGCTGTGGGTGTGATAAGATGGCCGGGGAATTCGGGGCTAGATCGAGTGAGGGGTCCTATTTAGTCCATCAGCCAGTCAGTCAGTCAATCAGTCAGTCAATCAACGGCCCACACTTACCAGTGTTTCTTGGCCAGTTTGTCACTTGGCTGTCCCATTAGCCGCCACACTTTGGGTCACCGGCCCATAACGGAGTCTTAAGTTATGTTAGAGGCTTTTTTTCTTTCTTTTTTTTTTTGTGGGAGGGAATTCTGTGGGCGGCCGGCTAATCCCACCTTTTAGGGCCCCTAAGCAGCTTCTTTTTGCGCGCCTGCAAATTTATGCAAATTGCTGATTGAATTCAAATTTTCGAACTCGAAATTCTCGCGTCGACAAATATGGCAACACGCCTTGCCTACGAAATTAATTCGGTTCGCGAGTCGCCAAAGATAGCGACCGGGCGACAGCGGAGACGCCATGAATCAAAAATTGTATAAATCGTATCAAGATCTTGGCGAGAGTCAAGGTCTTTTCGACGTGGCCACGGCCCACATCTTGAGTTTTGGCCGAGTAAGGGAAATCCGCGGAGTATAGGTAGTCGGTCCGCTGGCATAATTAACATGCGCCAGAGATGCCAACGACTTGTCAGCCGGTGGAAAAAAAAAAACACCGAATAAATCCCAGCAAACAAAGGCAAAGAAGCCAGCAAGAAATGCCTGGTGGGTGTCTTCAAGTAATCCCCGCCAATGGATCCATTTTTTTCGGTTTCCTTGGGTACTTCGTATTTCAGTTTCTAGTTTCATTGCACTTGCTTGGGGCCCCATGCAGGGGTTCCAGTTTATACCCCAGGGGAATAACAACAGATCGAAGACTGGCTGAGTTATTTTATGATTTCTGCAGTCTAATGTGGGATAGTTTATGGCTGTGGGCTAAACATAAACATTCCTGCGAAAGAACTGTGATTGGAAAATATTGTTTTTGAAAATGAATTGCGATTGAAGTATTCCAATTTGCTAACTCAAATAAAATTCTAATAAAATCTATTTAACTTGATTCTGTTTTTTTTTTTTAAGAATTAGATTAGCTTAGAAACTACAACTTTAATTCATATTTGCGTACTTTCACCAAGTTACAACGTTCTCGGAATTGTCCTACGTGACATCATCCTACTTAGCAGTCCGCAGCTTCTTAATGAGACTCTTTCCCATGTTAACTAGAACCATCTGTCTATCGCTGGCTTTCCCCTTCTGGACCAGCTAAAAACCACCGTTTAGAGGCGGACAAAAAACTCTCTCTAATTGCCGACCTTTTCGCTGACGAACTTTCCTCATAATCGCGCGTCGGTTGGCGTGGCTGTCGTGTCCAGTCTTTTGGCCATTTCATTTGGCCCGTTGCAGAAACCGCTCACTTTCGGTTAACAAATCTCCGGCTGACCTCGATGCAGGCCACACACACGCTCCAAGCACGTAGAAGGGCTGGGAAAATAGAAAGAACTTTTGCGCTTTTCATTAATAAAGTGCCGCTGTCCGTCTGTGCCAGTAACACATATATTACATAGTAAAGACCAGGCCGGCGGGCAAGTAATCAAGTGAGTTGTATACCAAGAGTTACGCGGAGTAACCAGTTACGTTTTATGACCTGGTCCGACCGTAGATGGCCGGCAGTGCGGGCGGCTAATGAAAAGAAATGAACTCCGAGAGCGGAGAAGACCAGTTGCAGTTTACTACCATACGATGTACGGTTTTGGGCCAGAGGAAGTTCTCGAAACGTGAAAAGATTGGGCAACATTGCAGCTCCCCCCGCATTCGCCTGCTGCCTGCCGAAGACTATGATTTTCCCGCAGTTTATGAGCCGCATTTTCGGGGAAACGCTGCAAGTCCAAGAGCAATAACTCCGACACGGCTGTCACTTTTGTCGCTTCATTGCGGAAACCATTCAAACGAAATTTCCCTCATCGCGCGACACATTTCGGGACACCCAAGTTGAGAGGAAGCCAGCTCTAAACGGCGATTACCGGCCGGTTCAGGTGAGGTGAGAGCCCCCCTGATGACAGAACCGAAATAACGTTATTTTACGACTGCTACATGTGGAAGCCCCGAATTTATGTGGAAACAAAGCCCCACACATCACGGGCAGATACAAATACTATATGTACGGCTAGCGACAGTTTATTAATTATGATGGAAAGTCCCGGGCTGTAATCCCTTCAAACAAACGATGGCGCCACGGGGCCTAAGCTTCCGAAATCCCTTCGTGGAAATTCAGGAAGTGTTTTTCCCAAAAGGCTGATATTGATTTATGGAGTTTCGTGTTGAAAGGCTATTTTATCTTTTCAACACTTGGCAAAAATAAAATAAAAGCTGCCGAGATTTGTTGCATCTCTGTAGTTATGATTTAATTAATATAAACTGTTTTTAAGATACATCATGATGGAGCAGAAGGTGCGAATCTCCAATCATTATTATCTAAAATTGTTAATTGAGAAAACTTTGTTATTTAGACAAGATGCATTATCAATGTTTTGTTATATTTTATTTTTCCAAGTGCACATCAATAGAAGCTTGTACATCTTTCCAAGTTCCGGAGACACGTTTCCGCCCTTGGACAACTTCAAAAGCTCTGCCGCTAGCCTCCTCCAAAATCTCTGATAAGCAGCAGCAATTGCCGCTAAGAGGCTGCTGCCTAAAAACATCCCACGAGGCCAGCCAAAAATAGCAAAGAAAAGCCACGGCACGGCCAATAAACCTCAAATTATATGTGTTATATGTGCTTTATATATAGCATAGAGGCGACACATTAAAACAAATTGAAATTACCAAATGCATCTATGAAATTTATCGCCCGACAGCCAGACTGACTAAAAAGACACAATGAAAGCGGCAGAGCCAGAAGACCGAGCGGCGAGGAATTAATTTATGGACATCAATCTCAATACCGCAGTATCCAACAGGCTCATTGCCCCGCATCCCCAGTCGTCTGCTCCCCAAAATATTTGTGTGTTTGTTGTTTCGGGTTGGAAATTTATTTTTAATATTTTTTCGTAGCGATTTCCGTCTGCATTCGACGCCTGTTGCCATTGTGGGCGGCCAAGCCCGATTCGAAAACACAATAAATTAAGAATATTTATTTGTTTGCGGTAATTGTGCGAATAATTGATGATTATGTGCCTCGTTCCCAGCCGCTGGAGTCCGTCGAGTCGTGGGCATCGACGGCTGCAACTGCCAGTGCCGAGTGTTGAATGGTTTTTAATTAATTCCGAAAAAGGTTATATGAAGTTGACCCCTCATTACAGTAAATCTGAAAAGCTCCGTGGGTCCCCCGCACGGAGGTGATTTAAATTGGTTGTTGACAGGCGTAAGCCCTGATGAATAAGTATACTAGTGATCCAGATCGCAGATCTCCTTCGATTCTTGTGAGGGAAACTGCAGCAACTTGGGCCCGAAGTTTATCATATCCCATATTGTCTAGTGGTTAGGATATCCGGCTCTCACCCGGAAGGCCCGGGTTCAATTCCCGGTATGGGAAATATGGAATTTAATATTTTATTTAAAAATAGTTTGACAAATGCTACACGGTAAATTAATATTTGAAGAAAATAAAAAAAATTAATTATAGAATTAAACGGTTTCAAAAATAAAGCTAGTTGTACAAAAATATAATTACAATTTTTTTTTTTAGAATTTTGAGATGACATTCAATGGTTTTCCAACACTGCTTTTGGTAGGATATTAAGTCCCATATTGTCTAGTGGTTAGGATATCCGGCTCTCACCCGGAAGGCCCGGGTTCAATTCCCGGTATGGGAAGTATGGTAGCTTTATATATTTTGCATTACATAAAAGTTTTTTGAAAAAATTCTTTACTGAAAATATTTTGATTTGTTAAAGTTTACTTCGACTTAGATGTCTCTCGTTAAAAAGTTGGCAGTATCAACTATTTTTTTCAAGTGGTAATGGAAAATCAAAACGATCGCATATATAGTAGAAATGAAATTCGCGATAGACAACGTAGAAATGCGAATGAGAAGTCTTCGGATGAAAGTACTGATTCTAGTTCAGAGCCTCAGACTAGCAAAAAAGTTAACTACTCCTACAAAAAATATTATAAAAACATAAAGAGGCCATCGAAAAGAAATATCAATTTTGAACCGTATCTGGAGCACCGAAAATCTAGAAATTACCGAGAATCGAGTCCCGAGGGCGATGCACCTATATATACCTTAAATGCCCCGGAAGAACCAAATGATCCCGAACCGAAGTGCAATCCTGCAGGACATGGCAAAAAATCATCTTCCGAATGTCAAGATAATAAATTACTTTATATGATCGCAGGGTATGTTGTGGGCATTTTAATGGTACTAATCTGGTATTACAGAAATCCCCAAAAAGCGCGCCGTGATCTGAACGGAAGATGGATTTTCATAGTTTTGTTCTTTCTATTATTGATTATATTGGTTCAGAAACGTCCAGCCAGGTGGGTTGTCTAATACAAAAAATAATTTATAAGCTACTAAGTTGCTTGTTACAGGTGCATTGCAGCTTTATGCTTTTTTAGCTTAGTTAGATACCAGTTTCGGGCACTAATTATCGCCTTTGCTTTTTTGGTGGCTTGTTGCGGACCTGTAAAAACCACAATCCACAACATTTGCATTATGGCGAACTCTCTATACTGCGGACAAAATGTATTAATACAAGCGCTCAGTCCTATGCAACGCATTATAAATGATCCTTCTCATTCCGTGGAAGAATCTTTTCAAGGAACATTGGCTGCAGTTCGCAAGCTCGTAAATAAATTGGATAAGCTTTTACTGAATCTGGAGAAACCCATAGCTTTAATACGTAAGTATATAATAACAATTAAAATGGTATTTAATATATGTTTTGGTTTTGCAGATGTAACTTACAGGACCTGCGGAGATTGGCTAATCTTGCAGAAGAATCACTTTGACTACAGAATGGGATCGCCGTACAATCGCTGTATGAAAGCTGGAAACTTGAGCGTTGCTCAATGCCAAAGTGAATTCTATAAGGAAACTAAAGAGTGCTGTAATCTACAGCGGTTCGCTTGGTTCTGTGAAAGTCTTAGAGGCATTAAAAGCTTCTTCGATGACAACATTCAGTGGTCACTACTAATAATAGAAGAAATATTTAAACGTAGGTTACTAAAAACATTAACAGATCCCAATACAACTTGGATTTCCCACAGGTTTGCATATATGTTTTATAAAAATCCGTTATGTCTTTATATCAACCATTAGCTTTGATCATAAATTGAAATTGAATTCCACAAGTTCACTGACAGCATACACTGATCAAAAATATGAACAGGATTTTACACAACACTTGGATTCCGAGAGAAACAAGTTATTTTTTATTTTTCTTTGGCTTGATTTGATTGTCTTTGTACTTCTGCTAACTTGTCTTTTACAATCTGTTTACTTTTGGTTTCGTTTCTTGGGTAATGGAAGCTATGAAAACGTTTTTATAACAAAAGATTTTGAAAACTTAGATGAACGACATTATCAAGAAAATGGTTCTAGGGCCTTGCCCTTGAGCAGTTGTGAAGAGAATCAATATGTTATGGTAAAGTCTTGAATTTTGTTTTAAATTACTTTTTTTTTAAGACAAATTAGTAGATTAACTCACTGCGACTTTTGCCCAAAGAGTATAGTAAGAGGTATCACTCTGGGATGTTTTTAGTGATTACTGGAATTCAGTTATTCTGTATCTGCTTTGTGGACTACAGTCTTTATAGTATGCTTACTTTTATGTCTTATCATGGACATATGACTGCTGGACTCCAACGTAATTGTATCCTTAAGCAAAAAACACGTTTTAAACATTTAATCTGCAGCTCCCGCTTACAAACAAGTTATTATTAAAGGCGGAGGTCAAATCGGTGACCTTCTAAGGGAATTCGTTCACGCCTTTGAGCCAAAGGCCTTTAAAACAAATACTCAAAAGTGTCTGCCGATCCCTGCAAAGCCAAAATATCTACGATATTTATGGATATTTTTGCTATATTTGCTGGCCTGGTTCTTGGTCTTTTGGGAGCCATACGGTCTCCGCCAAAGACACCGCATTATGGGTCATTTTTATCCAAAAGAATCAAGGAGGAGAGTCTACGAGTTGCATGATACTATACTTAAGGATAGAAGTAAGCAATTTTTAAAAATTCTTTAAACGTATTTTAATTTATTTTTTCCTTAAGAAACTTTATTTCAAACAAGAATTAAGCAAGCTAGATTATTAAACGCTTTTGAAGATAACAAATTTAAATTACCTTGGTTTAATTCCAATAAAATTTGGTAAGCAACACAAATTATAATGTTAATAAATGTTAACCTCAATTATTTTAGGCGTTTGTATTGGGGCCGCAATTCCCTAATTGGCAGATCTTGTACTGTTTGCAATAAACCGCTAAATAAGTTAGTGGTTCTAACAAACAAATTCCCTAAATAACGTTTATTTTTTTACAGAACTGATCATTATCCCTGTGACTTGCCCAATTGCAGGGGGAATTTACTGTAACGTGTGCTCTCAGGAATGCAACAACTTATGTATTTTATGTAGTTCACGCTACGATAGTGATATATTGCAAGTTGGGTAATTTTAATCATTTTTTCTTCTTTTTAGTTGGAAATTTATCTCTTTTTTCATCCCAGAGAGTCCTCCGACGATCCCGACGCTGATTACTGCAGGCCTGATAAGATTCGTAAGCAGGACAGGAATAAGAAATCTTAATGATTATGTTTGGAAATGTTTAAAAAATAATATTTTTCATAAGCCAAAATAAAGATTCTGAATTTTTTTATTAACTCCCATATTGTCTAGTGGTTAGGATATCCGGCTCTCACCCGGAAGGCCCGGGTTCAATTCCCGGTATGGGAAGCTTATGCGGATATTTATTTTATAATTATCCTCCACTCATATTAATCATTTTTCAAGAATTTTATGTTTTGGTTTTAAGTAAAAACTTACAATTGGTTTTAGTTTGATTTTCAAATGAGGAAACATTTTCAAAATCAAGGCAAGGCGAAGCAAAATATTTTAAACGTTTTCAGGTTATCATATTCAACTTTCATTATCAGAGTCAAGAACATGAATAACAAAATAATAAAATATATAATTTACATAAACTATTTAGCCGCGGCGAATCTCAAGTCCCATATTGTCTAGTGGTTAGGATATCCGGCTCTCACCCGGAAGGCCCGGGTTCAATTCCCGGTATGGGAAACATCTGTGGACGTCTTTCAATTTTTGTCTCATATTTTATTTTTATTAAATTCATATTTTACACATTTTTTTAAACATGGGATGTGCCAAGAATAGCATACCAGCCGTTGAATGTTCGAACAACCAAATAAATTCATTCTCCACCAGATTGTAAGTTTATTCAAAATAAATGTCCCTTGTGCGTTCTTTTGTTGATTCTTTTTCTAATCCTAATCGAATTCCAATGGAATCGCAAAGCTATTTTTTTATTGGCTGGCCAAAGTTTTCTTTTAATTTGCTGAGGTATAAATTGTGTTTTCTTATTATCATGCTCCCAAATAAATTCACTCGAATCCCTAGCTTAGCTTTCATCCTCCTGCCTGAGTAATTTTCTATCCCATTACCTAATTCCCTCTCCCTCAATGGTCGAGGACCCTTCTACTTTAATCCAAATAACTTTCAGCATAATTTTCTAATTCAATTGGTGGTCCTTTCTGGCAAAACAAACCCAAAGTTCCGTGTTTTTCTAGGACTGTGTGATGGGCAAGCTAACCTGCGGGACTGAGTTACGAGACAGTTTCAAAACGGTCCCAGTTCAAGCGAAACGGACAGATTTTACGAGCCGCCTGCCAACTGAAAGTAAACTACAAATGTTTACACAACCAGAGGGCTAAGGACATGGAGGCGGAGTTGGGACAGCCTGGTAAAGTTCGAGCAAAAATTGAAAAACTTTTGCCATCGCCTTGTTTTTTTTATGATGATGACGACGACGACGACTGCCGCTCGATGAAAACGCCTATTTTGGGATGGGGACGCACGCCAGCCACGCCCCCTACCGCCCCCTTTTGGAAGTAGGACAGATAAATATAAAATTCGGCGAGAAGTTTTCCACACGTCTGGCTGCTCTTCCTGGTAACCAGTTCATTGTGAAATTGGATTCCCTGCGAAGGCAGATTCGAGCTACTTAAGGATGAGATGCAAATGTATCCTTGCCTTTCAAACTCAACTGCAGTATTGAATTTGTTCGAGTATAAGACATTGGGGACTTAAACTGAACTCTGAGGGCTTTGCATTTTCCCCTTTCTGTTTAATTGTGTGGAAAATTGTAAGAAAATAATTCGCTAAATGCAAATGCCAGACACTCCCGGCTTGTATACCTATCAAAGCGATTGAGTGTTACTGTTTCGATTGCAGGGTTAGAAGTTTAGATTTCGCTTATTCGAACCCCTTTTTGCGGTTAGTGCCTGAGCTTAATCAGGCGCCTTGCATCAGACATATTCTCGCATTACACGCGGTTGCCTTTTTTCCCCCTTCCTCTATTTCCCAGCTTTTCCTGCGGTTTGGCAATTTTGTTAAAGATACAAAGCGCCGATACGGAACAATGAGATGTGTGCGAGCTGTGAGGTGAGCACAAAGCGTTCCAACCACAAAACAGCGCGGAAGCGAGAAAGAATTTGCATAGAGGAGCAGACTCTACGGTGGAGCTGAATGTTTCGAAAAAAAGGGAACGCGGCTAAAACTCACTTATCTGAGAAACGGATACGTGCTGATTAGGTGTTCTCTTTCAAAATTCTACTTTAAATATATTTTTAAATATAATCTGAAGGTAGTGTTATAAATACATTTAAGACATAAGGAAATATTTAAATTTAACCTGCATTGAAAAACTCTACATTTTTATTTAAATTGTCTGTAATAATTGCACCACTGTACCATTTAGGAATGATATCTGGCTCGCCGGTATCCAACAAAAGAGATCCCGCAAAGAAAAGCCACAGTGCAGCAAACCCCGAAAAGCCGGCAAATTTTTTTTTACTCCGCGAGGTAACGAGAAAGAAGGTCCTTCTCGTAATTGCAGCTCCACGGACAGGACAGAGCGACCACGCCCACTCAATGAGCAAACACTTTTCAAATGGAAGGTGTGCCCCGTGATAGTATTCCTAATTACAACTTTAAAGGCGGGCGCACATGCGAAACCAAATTAATGTGGTCAGTGGAGTCCTGTCGGGGTTTTAAGGACAGGTTACTGCACTTTTTGATCGCCGAATCGCGTGTCAGTGGCGTTTCCGCCCACCACCGGCGGCATTTCCACTTCTAACAGGTTCAAGTGCAATTTAATTGAGCGAAATGCATAACAAACACAAACACAAATTAAATGCGACATTTTTATTTGCGGTTTTGTGACCGCTCAAATTAATATGGCGTCGCCGTGTCACAGGAAAATGGCTTTAATTACCATTAGAAAGCTGGGAGTGCCTGTCGGGAAATAACACTTAAAATGAAAAGCGTGCTGGGCAATGGAATACTGTTTATTAGGGCACAGCAAATTTACATATTAAAACAGTTCATTCGGTTGCTAAAAGCTTTAAATCTAGTAAGATTTTTTGTGTAGCTAAGTTTAAAGTTCCCAAAGGAAAACAAAATATTACTCAAAATTTAGGAATCATTTTACTCATTCTTTCTGCAGGTCGTAAACAAGTTATTCCTTTATCCACGATTCTACACATGAGATAGGTAAGTGCAGTGGCGCTAACAGGATCATAAATCCAGCGATATAAATCTGAGACGAAGGAGTGAGACACAGAGGTCTAGAAGGTGTGTGTGTCCCTTTGGGTTTCCTTTTCTCAGGTGATAAACACTCGCACACGTCGAAGATTTTGAATTACTTTCGTTTTTATCGCCGGTTTTCATAATTTACACGCGACCTGCCTAGGAATCGAGGAAGATTCGGATAAAATCGGGAGAGGCTAGCGGAATAATGCTGACGATTCACTTCATCATAAATTCACCTGTCGTTGCAAGTCCATCGAGGACCCAGTAAAAAAGTAAAAACCGGACCTGCTTCCGTTGCCCAATATTGTCCTGGGAAAATCGAAAGGAGAAGGAGTCGTTGTCCGAGGAAATTTATGAATTTCGTTGGCGTGGCGAGTGCGCGAAAATTTCGTGGAATTTTCAGGCTGCTCAGGTCGGAGACGTTGTCGCGTCTTTCGAATTGAAATTTCATTAGTTTTACGAGTTGCCCAGCCTTCGATGGGTTTACGACGCTTCCAGGGAAACCCACGGCTAGGAGCCAGGCAGTCGAGTCAACGCGATGAATTATGGAAAGCGATTTACATTCGCTGGCTCATATTTTATTGCTGCTTGTTAATGTTTTCATTGCTGCTCCTTTTTTCACTCGACGCTTTTCTTATTTGGCGAATGCATGAATTATGGATTTTCCCCTTATGGCTATGCCAAAGAATGCAAGCAACGAAAAGGAAAAAAGTGTGCGTATTGTTGAAAAATAATGTGCAAATTTATTGAATTATTAAAGAGGGGGAATTTTGTGAGCAATCCTTGTTGGTTTTGCAAAGTGGTTGGGTTTCGGAGTTAGAAAAACTATCTCTGTACAGTGCAGTGTTAAACTCTATCATTAGTTTTAAAGAAACTTCCAGCTTTCCTCTTTTGTCCTACTTTGTTAAACGCCAGCTCCTCCAAGCACATGCTAAACAAGATGGAATAGTTCGCTTATAAATTCCTAAAAATATAGGAGCTTAGTCCCATCCGATTCCCCGCAAGAGGGCGTCGCCATATTGAACCAGTGCTGACCTCTTTGGACAGCCATAAAAAGGAGGCGACTCGCCACTCGAATGCAATAAAAATGTATCAAGAGCGTCGAAAGGGAAAAAAGCTGGGAGATAGAGAGGAATGGCAGATGACATTAGTGCTGCGAGCGGAGAATTGTTATATTCTTAACAATATTCCGGATATTTATGACCCGTACTGGATCCCATCGCAGTGGCTGGTCAAATGGAGCGTGTCCCGTGCTCCAGTTGCCATTCCATTTGTGCTGAACACTGAACACTGAATGTCGGATGCTGAATATGCGTGAAAAATGTTGCGAAAAATTTTAATGCGCTCGCTGCGGGCGCCAAATGGAAATGGATGGAGGAAAGCGAGGCAGAGAGGTGGCCTGGGAAAATGGGAAAAATGGAAAGATGACAAATGATTATGGGGCATAATAAATTTTAGCGCTGATTGAGCGACTGCAGCTGCGAGGAATCGCATGCAAAAACGGGAGAGGCATCCAGTGGTTCGTTCACCCCCTCGGGGAATAAGTCATCCATTAATGAAGCTAATTTGCTGCACAAATCCTAGCGAAGCTCTCCTTCAAATCCCATTTTCCATTTTCCAAGTCGGGCAAGGGCAAACAGAAGGAGCGCACAAGGAGCCGGGAAAAGTTGATCCCGGCTGCTTATGGCTGACACGAGTGTCATCCACTCCTATCATATCTCGATGCCGCCCATTTTCCGCCTCTTTCCCCCCAGCAAATAACTGAGAAATTGCAGTGGCAGCAAGTTTATTGTCTCCGAAGCTCTGAGTCCTTGGACATACACACACATACACACACATACAGCCAAACACATGAGCCGAGAGTGAATTTTCTGCTCAAGGAGTTTGAATTTATTTTCTTCGAGTGCTTCCGTGCAATTGCAAGTGAAACGTCCGAGTGCAGGTCGCTTTTCCAGCTTTTTACCCTTGCGCTTTTATTTCGTCCTGATTGGGCACACAGTCGCCGACAAAAGTTTGCCCTTAGCATTGGCTTCGCCCCATTTCCAGCAAGTGTGTGTGTGGTTGTGGATGCGGATGAGGATGGTTTGTCTTTTGTCCATCTGGTTGTCAGGAGAGCAGCAATAAGCCCAGCTGGACATGCGGATTATGTTGGGTTATTGAAAGCCACTGGACGCTAGAGGTGAAAAATTACTTTTTTCCTTTTTTTTATTCTCTTCGAAAAGGGAATCTTGAAAACTTTTCCGTTTAAAATTCTACTAAATGTTGTCTTATGGGATGGCATCAAATAGAGTAGTTTGTTTGTTTAAATCTTGAAAAAGATACAGTGGTGCTCATAGACTTAAGCCACAAGACTTCAACCAAGAATTTAAACGAAAATTAAGAAAAGTTTTTATTTCACAGCTCCAATTATTTGTGTCACATTAGTTCTATATATCAGTGTTCTAATCGAAGAATAACCAAGTTATAAAAATATACATTTAACGAAAAACTTAAAAAATATGAGACCATCTCCAAAATGTCCTGCTCACATACTTAAGCCACCTGGAAGAAAATGGTTGAAAAAGTTAAAATTTGCCCAATATTCCTTATAATTTTAATAAATTTACTTTAATATTGAGTGGGGTGACCTTTCTGCTTAAGAACAGCGGAGCAACGCTTTGGCATTGAACCCACAAGACGTGCGCACTGTTGAGGGGTGATTTTCTTCCACTCTTCCTGCAAAACTCGCCACAAATCGTTTTTATTTGCTGGTTTTTTTTGGCCAACGACTTGTTTAAGAATTCCCCACAAGTTCTCTATAGGGTTCAAGTCGGGACTCTGCGGTGGCCATTGCAAAACTTTGATTTTCACTTGGCTAAACCACGACTTGACTATCTTGCTGGTGTGCTTCGGGTCGTTGTCCTGTTGAAATATCCAGGCAAGTGGCAAATTATCGGCATATTCTCCGGATAAATTGTTAATAAGGATGTCCCTGTATATTTCGCCGTTCATAATGCCTTCTATCTTCACTAGGGGACCTACGCCCGATGCGGTGAAACAGCCCCAGACCATAATCGAAGCGCCCCCGTGTTTAACGGTCTTCCTCGTGTATTTGGGGTCCAATTGTTTGTTGGGAGGACGTCGTACATATGGTTTACCATCACTCCCAAAGACATTAAACTTGGATTCGTCGCTCCAAACAATCATGTTCCAAAAATTGGGACCTTTTTGAAAATGCTCTCTGGCGAATTGAAGGCGCGCTTTAACATTTTTTTTGGACAGCAATGGTTTTTTTTGGGCAATGCGTCCATATAACCCGAATTCATTTAACCGTCTTCTTATGGTCTGAGCTGACACATTCACGCCATAATCTGCCACCATTTGACCTCTGATTTGCGTCGATGTCAAGAACGGATCGGCTTTACTGATTTTGGCAATCCGTCTATCGTCGTTTAAAGTGGTTTTTCTGGGCTTTTGACGTGGAATATTTTCCCAGGTTCCATGTTTCTTATAAAATGCAATGGCATTTCTGACTTTGCCACGCGAAAAATGTAAAGTCTTACATATTTGTAGAATACTTGTGTTTTTTTCGTAATATTTCCATATTAGCTTTCTTTCGGCCGGATTTGTATTTTTATTTTTAGCCATAGCGATCAAATTGTTTTGGGAAACGTATTTAGTATTCAATATTTCAGTTTAGAAAATAAATAGCACAACTTTCCCGGAAAAATCACAAGTTTGACGATTAAAGTTTAAGGTGGCTTAAGTATATGAGCAGATCGGAATGCTCCTTTTGGAAATTTAGTCAATTTTTTGGGAACCCCCGAATTCCTACTTGTCATTTTTTACTGTGATCAGCTGCTTAAATAACAATGTTGCAAAATGTAAAAAATTTCACGCCAAAATAAATATCTTCAAAAAAGTTATTAAGAAAACAGTCTATGGTAGTTGCAGTGGCTTAAGTCTATGAGCACCACTGTAAGTACTTTTGAAGCATTTTTATTTAAGTTAATGCTGGCTTATTGAATTTTTTTTAGACTTTGAACTTTTTAACCGGACTTATAGGAAGAGTCACCCGACAGCTCACCCACAATGGCTAGTGACTGTATAATCGTAGCGGTAAATATTACCCAATAACACATAAAAATCGACACAATGACGCACAGCAACTGAAACACCTACAATATCTATAACAGCCGCAGATGAGACACGAATTTCTGTGTTTCTTTTTCGGAGGTGAGAAGTCGGGCGGCGGAAAGTCAACAATAATAAAATATTTAAAGAAGGAGAGGGAGTGAGTTGGGAAAAAGCGCCCAAGAAAATGAAGTCATCTTGTGCAAATATGAAAACAAAGTCAAGTGTTAATTTGCGTGGGAAAACAATTTTTCAGTTTCAGTTATTTGGTTCGAAGGCCCCAAAAACGAGGCGGCTAAAAGTTCTTTTGATAACGAATGCTCTTGTTAATTTCGTTGTAATTCCTTGAAAGCAAAAGTGTGTACGGGGTGCGGAATTGTAGTGGGGTTTCGGCAATCTGGGAGCGTGTGAAAGGTCAAACTTGGCTGCGACGACTTCAGCAATTGCGATTAGCCAAAGAGCCAAACAAAAATAAAGGCTAATTTTGTCGAGCCAAATTAGAGAAAATCCCCGACCATTAAAGGCCGCTCTGCCGCATTGCAAAAGCCCAGCCGAATAACCAAACCCAAAAACAGAAACCGTAGAGCCCGGCAAAAGTTGACACCACAAAACATTAACTTTCAAGTACATCAAACATTTTGTTGGCTGTTATCTCAGCAGGCCCCACAAAGGTGCCACCAACTTTGCCACAAACTGGGGCACCAAGGGGCTAAGTGCGGAGATAGGGCGGCGACGAGTCGAAACTTGTGCGTTGTTTCGTTGTTGGTTGTTGGGTTGTTGGCTGTTGTTGTCATCATCATCATCATCATCGTTGTCTTTTGTTGTTATGCGAATGACATTTCCATGTAGTACAAAAGTTTCTCGACTGCTTCTCGTTTTTATTATTATTTGTTGTTGTTGCTTCCCCAACAAAAGTGTGGGAAAATGTGTTTATTTTTATGATTGTTTAATGTTTTATTTTCCACGTATTTCCAGCTCAGACACACAGACAAAAAGTTGACCTGCCAGCGAGTTTCGTTTGTGTTTAACTTTAAATGTTTTAATTAGTTCGGAATCGAAGCCATCATCACTGCATTATCGACTGCATCCCAGAAGAGAAATTCCCATTCGAATTAATCAAATCATCATCATCGCCCGAACGCCACTTTCGATCCCTTTGATCTCTGGCCAAAACATATTTCAATTAACGGGCCATGACCGTGGCAAAGGCCAAGAGCGATTCCAAAGCCGAGTCAAACAGCTATACCAATAGCAATACCAATACCAGATCCAAGTCCAAGGCAAAGGCGAAGGCGAAGGTGATCTCGAAGGCCGGCGTCTGGGTCTCTGGGTGTGGCCATGTGTGGGTCTCTTTTTTTCCCCCGGTGCATGTGTGGGGGCATCAATCAAAGCCGCAGTTAATACACAGGGCGAAAATGGTTAACCAATCAAGAAATGCTATTTTCAAACATTAAAAGGGTAAAATAAGTATTATATCTCAAAGTACTTTATGCAAAATTTTAACAAAACAATTACAATTCCAAATAAGACAACAGAAAAGATTTGTACTATTTACAATTTACTGATTATTTAATTTAAGCTCACAGTTTTTTAATATTTACTCATTTTTCTAAGTAATAACAAAAAATAATATTTCTAATATTTGTTAATATTTAACTTATATTTTCTTTACTGTGTAACAACCTCTGGTAAACAAGTGAATGATGCCTTGGCCGAAAGGGGCAGACAGATCGGCTCGACTCCAAGTTACCCAGTGAGTGATAAATCAAAGCACTGCCCCAACCTCCTTCGGAAAGGAGGGTCTCTCCATATGGGGCGCCATTCGTGTGGTCTCCGTTCGCCCAGAGTTTCGAGCTCCACTCCGAGTGGATTCGATTCTGGTGGTTTCTCCGCTGCTGGATTGCTTGATTTTCAATTTCATACGCACCGTTGGATGCATTTCGATGGAAGGGCGAGGGGCAGGCGGGGAAATCGCTGCACTGAGCGGCAATTTATTGATTAACGCGTTTTGTTTCTACTCCCTCCACTGCTCTGCGGGCAATTTTCATCACTTTTCGAGCGCCGTAATTAAAATGTATTTTCTTAAATCGTTTTCCGTGGCCTCTTCTGCTGGGTGGTCATCCAGTTTTTCCCCCCATTCACACACCACAAGCACACACACTTTTCAGGGGCAGCTGTCGCCACCAAGCCAGGGCAATAACTCAGGGGTCCATCATCAATTTTATAAGCCCCTCCGCGACCCATTCACAAAAGTGTTAAAGCGCGAAAAGCAGCAGCAGAAACGGCAAGTAAAGTTGGGCAATTTGTTTCGCTTTGTCTGCCGTGGAAAGAGAAAAAAAAAACAATGCCAGGTGAACTCGGGGGGTGTGCACTGTACAGTGTACACTTTTCGACACTCATTTGCAATTTTTTGTTAATTTTTTTTCGTACCTTTGTCAGTCGGCTGACGATGGCTGCCTGTGATAAGAACTTGCCGCAACTCCGACGCAACAATGCAATAATTACAATTTATATTTGCAGATAGAAATCGCACATTAAGCAACGGCAGCGGCAAAATGCAAACTGAAAACTGAAAATTGCAACTGCCGCCGCTTCAGTTAACCCATGAAGCCCATAAAGAAAGGCTACAAAAAAAAACCTGTCAACGTGTGCGTTTTAACGCTTCGTCGATTTGGCCAGTGGGTGAAGTTAAGGTCGCTGTTAACGTTAATGTCCAAGTTAAAACCGCCTCGGGCGGCAGCTGCTTTCAGTCTGCTGCTTCCAGCTGCTTTTGCTTCTGCTTCTGCTGCCGTTTTGGACACAATTTTTGGCTGCTGCAAGGGTCATTGCCTAAATTTCAATCAACTCTGGTGGCCGGCAGAAAAAAAAATGGAACAGCCGAGCTGCGCTTGGGGCAAAAGACAAATTTCATATGCCCCAAAAAAAATTCTGGAGATCAGGGGAAACATGATGAATAGCCACGGCTTTATTATAATGACCGTTGCATACTCTGCATTTTGTGTACCCAGGGAATAATAATTATATATCAGGTATAAATAATATAAAACATATATCATATACTAAGCATAATTTAAGGAATGTGTACTTTGTTCTTAACTTGCTCCTACTTAATTTCAGTCAGCAGGAAAAGTCTTTCGGTATCTATTAATTTGGTTATCATCCCCAAGTTTTTCAGCAAACCTCTCAACCAAATTCGAATACCCCACAAATCCTGAAGAGTAATCCCCAAAAGTGACCCAAAACAGCAGACGGTCGATCCAGTCAATTTGGTGGTCCGCTTTGCATATGCCAAAACTAAAGATGACCTGATCCAGTGGAGGTTGCCAGTGGATCCAGTTACACGTTTGACACCTGGCCTCACCTGACTGGGTCTGCCTGGGCTCCCGATCCTCCGATTTCCCCGATTCCCCGATCCCTTTCATCTGACATAACTCAAACTGCTGGCGACTGCCGAAAAGATCAGAGAGTGATCGATCCACTGGAGGCTTTGGATCCTGCTCCTGAGGTCTTGAGCTGGCCACGCGTGCGTCAGATCGAATAACCAAACAAAACCAGCGAGAGGGATTTTTTTTTAGGGGGCCAAGGACCTCCTGCCAGGATATGGAAAAACAGCAGTTTGTTTGGCTCTCTGGGTGGTCCACTCGGATGCTGCTGTCATCATCTTTAACGTCGCCGCCGCTTTCGATGGCAATGAAAGGCGAAAGGCTAAAACTACACTTAGAGAAATATAAGAAAAATAAAATAGAAGTGATGGTACATTAAGGTAATGACTCTTTCCAGAATCTTTTTTGTTTAAAAACTCAGAGAAATTAACTTCGAGAGATTTTTTTAAAAATCTGTTAAAAATGATTAAAAGAGTTTTTTTTAGTGTATTTGCACCTTTGACCATCGGCAGCTACCTCCTTTATGAAGCGCCTGCAGTAAATCATCGCGGCAAGGACACTTCAATTAGGCCAGAGCGCCGCCTCAGCAAGGAGCTGCTGTCCCGACGACTCTGTTTTCACCGCGTTCCAATCGCAATTAGCAATTAGCACAACATTAGCGCGGCTGACCTTTGACCTCGCTGCCACTCCCGCTGCGCCTGCCATTGTCCTTGTGCGAGAGTGTCGCCTGTGTCTCCTGTGTCCCCTGTGAATTCTCCCCGTTGCCATCCGAGGAGTGTCCACTGTGCTCTGTGTTTTGTCACGCATTCATTCGCCAAATGGCCGGCCATAATTTGCGGTTGTCCCATTGTGTCCTTCGTCCTTCGTCGCTAGCAGGCGCCGCCGCATATTTACATAATTGCCCATGTCTCAGTGTCTCACGCCATAGCGCTATAAACACGGCTAGGAAGATATAGCCCGCAGTTCCACATAGTCAACTTGATTTGTGTGTTTTTGCATTCTCTCAAACTCGCATAAATATGAATTTAAAAGTGCGGAGGACAGACACTTAAGAAAGTCTTTTCTTTTGGCAAAGTGGCTTAGTGAAATTATGGATTTATTTCAACTTTATATAATAGCCTAACTTAATAATTAGAAACGTTTTGTTCTAAACCAATCTATTTTATACAGCGGTCCATTACGTTACCTCTGATCTTTTATGGATACTCAACCATGAATAACATGATTATTAGGTTCTTTAACCCGTCTAAGAGCGTCAGTTGAAGCAATGCAGTCGAAAAGAGAGAAGCTCCTCTTGATTTGCTATTTATTGATAGTTTGTTTATCCTACTCGACATGTAAGCATACGAAATACTTTGTGGATAGCGCTTATTGCAAGATGCCCTTTGTGGATCCCTTCAGTCGGGATGTAATGTCAACATTTCGGACTCAAAAGCTGAAAGTCTGCCACCACGATAAAGATTTGATCACACCTGAGTTCGACCCAATAACAAAGCGCTACCGTTTGCACATACACAAGGAGTATGTTAATGGTACGAAAGGAAATATAACACTGAATTGTTCTTACCAGAAAATTTCAAGAAGCAGTAAAGTTTTGACTCCAGATAACTCTTATCGGTGGGTAATAAAATCGAAAGTTTCTGCATTGATCTATTCTATTTTCCAATAGTTTATCGTACCGCCGTGCGTTACCTCATCATTTACTACTGCCAAAGGATGTTGAATTTCTTACCACCTCATGCTCAACCAAAGACAATGGTGGAAACTCAACAGTCTTTCAACAAGATGGTTTTGCTCTTGTTCAGGATAAATTCACGCCTAAGCAGTTGAAGGAGAACCGCAGGATAATGAACTCAAAGGACGTGCCCAAGCCAAGTGTGGTAATTATGGGTCTGGATTCCACCTCCCGCATGAACCTAAGACGATCGATGCCCAAAGTATCGAAGTATGTCGACCAAGAGGGGTGGTTCGAGATGCAGGGATACAACAAGGTTGGCGATAACACGCTCCCCAATCTGTTGGCTGTACTCACTGGAGATGCGAGCACAGGCCCTAGAAATGGATGCTCTCTAAGAGACCGAGGTTGCCTGGACAAGTTCAACTTCATCTGGAAGAGGTACAAGGAAGAGGGATATACAACCGCTTACGCTGAGGACTGTGAGCTGTACAGCACATTCAACTACATAATCCCGGGGTTCGTACATCAACCTGTGGATTATTATCTGAGACCCTTTCTATATGCCGCCGAAGATAGCATGAAGCTGACTTCGTATTTAACAAACGCATATTGTGTGGGCCGCCATTTGAGCTTCAGATACGTTTGGGATTTCGGTCAACAGTTTATTCAGCGATTTTTGAAGGAGGCTCCCTTATTTGGATTTCTGTGGAGCAATAGCTTTACCCATGATTCCATGAGCGGAGCCTCGGCTTTGGATAACCTTTTCAATGAGTATTTGGATAACTTCCAAACGCTGGGACTCTTTAATCGTTCGGTGGTGATTTTTATGAGCGATCATGGAGATCGGTTCAACAACCTGAGAAACAGTCCCTCCGGCTTTCTTGAAGAGCGCCTTCCCATGATGTTTATTCATGTGCCACCTTGGTTCAAGGAGAAGTATCCCCAGTATGTAGAAAATCTAAAGAAAAACCGCAACCGCCTGTCTTCAAACTATGATCTTCATATGACCTTGCACCACCTTCTTCAGCTTAACAATTCCTCGATGTCTGATTTCAATTCAAGTCTTCAGGCGGCCAAGTGTAAAAATTGTCAATCGCTGTTCTTTGAGCTTCCAGTTAATCGAACTTGTGCAGAAGCGGGCATTGATGAAAAATGGTGCACTTGCCATCCACCGGAAAAAGTCAACGATCCCAAGCTAAATCAGGAAATTGGTCAGACTATAGTGGACACCATAAACCAACATTTTCGGGAGAAAAATGTCACTGATACTTGTCACGAATTAAGGTTAGGTCACATCCGCCACGCGTATAGAAAGATGATCCTGGCAACAGCCGACAAGCCTTCGGATCCGGATGAGCACATTTACACCATGGAGTTTTGGACTCTTCCCAAAGGACTGTTTGAAGCCACTGTAAAGTGGAATAAGCGAACTCAAGTTCTGACCATGAACGTAGACGAACTGAGCAGGTTGAATACCTACGAAAAGGATTCCTGGTGTGTGAAGGAGGCTCATTTAAAAAAGTACTGCATTTGCTATGAAGCACTAACAACTACTACACACTCTCTAAATTTCAGAAGTTCCTCCTGAATTCTTTACTATGCATGTTTAAATAAATAAACCTCTTATCTCTATGAAAAGTTACATGTTTGTGCAATTTTGAATATCTCTTCCACAGAATATTTACGAACGTTGCACTGTAATGATTTGTGGTCCAGTTTACCCAATTTATTGTGAACTTTCGCAGTTGCATTCATAGATAAACAGCGCGAGTGGGTCACAATTAGTTGCCCCTGTTTAAATCAGCGGAATCCGCTTCTCTCTGGTTCACTGATTGCCAGCTTCCGGATGTGTCATCCATGGACGGGATGGGATGGAGGAGCCTCCTCCGCTGATCGCAGCAATTGCCCTTCCCTTGATTGCCATCAATTGCGCAAAACAGTGTGCATGAATTTGGATTGGACAATGAAAACGATTACCAAGTAGTGCCGGGCAGTGATAAGCACAAGCGACTGGACAAGCGACAAGTGTGTCAGTGATGGATTACGACTATCCGCCGAATAAGTGGCGCCAAAATGCGTGAGAGGATGAGTCAATCCAGTCCAATGGGATTATGTAATGTTTTTCGGTTAGTCAACCAGCATTTTAAGCAAGTGGATTTTCGGTTTTCCAATAAATGAGACACAACCATTTAAGCTTTGAGTTTGAGTGCTTAATGAAGTTCTTTTTTGAAACAAATGTTTCTGAATTCCTTTACTAAACCTTAACTCTAAACATTTAATTCCAATACCTTGTATTATAATCTTCCGATTTCGGTTGGCGCCGAGCTGCTCGCGAGTGAAAGTCTCTGGAGGTCTAATTTAATCACTCCACCGCACTGGCGGAACCTTCTCACTTTGTCGGCCACATTAAAGAAGGGCCGACTGCCAAGTCGTAGATAACACCTAATTAGGGTGTAGAGGATCGTCGCCTGCGGACAAGGCGACTGACAACTTTAGCGCCACTTCCCCTTCATCTTATTAGTGCGGGTGGTCGAAGGGTCCCAGTCCGAGATCAATTTGGGAATCCGCCTAAGAAGGACCACGCCCCCAGAAGCGGGTATTAGGAATCGAAAGGGGCGGAGGAATAAGCGGCACGCACGCAACCTGCGGCAGCTGCTACCTCATCCTCTCGAACTCCTCGATCGGTTTGTATCTGTATCTTTTCTCGAGTCTAGGCTGCAGTCGCAATTCTTGTTAACAGTGATGTCTTTCAGAAAATAGCTAAGACTAGAGGTCATAGGTTAAGTGAAGTATATTACTTTAATAAAATTAATTTACCTATTTTGATTTAATTATAAATAATATTAATAATTATTCAATACGTTTGTTAAGGTTTTTTGGTAAGTATATATTATTATTAAAACTTAACACCTGCCTTTCTAGGCACATGCTACTTACAAAACAAGCCAGATCCTTTCAGAAAATAGCCAAACTGTAATCACTATTGGCCACGCTTGTTTTTGGTCTGGGTGTCGCCGGCGATTCGATGCGTTTCCTTTGGCCATCGGCCCAAGCTGAGATAATTACATGTTAATTCGTTAGCTCCTTTCCTTCAGACTTAAAACCTTGAGGTCCGAGACAACGCAATCGAGTTAAAGGCGGCTCTTTGGAATCGAATCGAATCGAATGGGATCGAATGGATAATTAAGCAGTTGCCAACAATGTGTGCGGCATTTAATTGCCGATCGAGATCGGGGCTTAAGGACACCTTCCAGTTCCGATAAGTAGCCTCCGCCTTATGAGTCAGAAGTCAAAAGTCAGCGTCGGTCCGTTCCATCGGGAATGGGCAGACGGAGCGACCTAACCTTGAGGTTAGGTAAATCACCTAGTCAGAGGGGCCGTATTAATAACTTTAATTAAAAACGGCTGCCAGCCAGTGGAGAGATCGTCTTCGAAAGTGTGGGAACCAAATTATTCAAATCGCCATAACTCGGCTCCTCGGGACTCCTTTTTGAAGCACCTCCTTTGGAGGTAAGCTCTCCTCTCATATGCATATTTATTGCATTTTTTCTCGACGCGCCGGCAACGCCCCCAAAAAATATTCACAATGGAATTTCAATTCCATTCGCCGACTCGGAGCAGGATCGCTGGTATTGGGATCTCAGAATGCATTCGTTTTCCTTCGCCAGCGATTCGCAGGAATAATTAAAATTTATATATGTTTGGGTTCGCTCCGCTTGGGTTTTCTTTGTTTTGCTGCGGGTTCTTCTAATGCGTTCGCCTCGTGGATTCTGCTCGTCTGGCCGGCAATCACAAATCCATTTCACTTTCATAACTCATCGGATCCAGGCAATTTACATGGTTTCCCTGCACCCCGAAACCCTTTTCTGAGTTTTTTTTTGCCTTCGCGAGACACGTTGAGGAAGTTATCATGAATGCGTAACATTTAAATGGTTGTCAATTCGAAAAATGCTAACTTCTCCCACAATGCTACACTGCAAAAATGTTTACACTTGCAAAAAAAAAAAAAAAAAAGTGGCATTAAATATCCATTTTTGTTTGTATAAGGAGGTTGTTAATTTTAAACTTAATTAATTTTGATAAATTAAATTTTTTCAAAATTGTAAGAAAATATAAATGTACTCCATAACTTTTGGTTGAGTGCATTTCCTTTTTGTGGACACTTTTTTCTCTTTCTCACTGGCACTCTCCCATAATTGAGACAACGTACGTGGAGGAGGAAGGTTGGGGTTGGGGAAACAATGACACCGGCATCATCCATCCACTCCATTGCCAGCGATCCATTGAAGCGCCTGGCACGTCCGCAAAGTGGCGTTTCCACTGTCCACTATTCGGCACCCAGTCCACCCAGCTGCACCCCATCCTCCCCACCAACTATCAGCCATGCCCACCCACTCCACAACCTCATCGTGGATGCGGAACGCATTTGAAATGAGCCAGGAGTCGGAGTCAGAAGGCTGGAGCGGGGAGCAGGCGTCGAAAAAACAACAACGGAGAAATGAATATTCGAAATTGCAGTGATATATCATCGATGGATTGTTCAGCGTGCTGGATGCCTGGCTGGCTGGCTGGATGGCTGGCTATATATTCCCCTCACCCAACGGTGAATCGTGAAACGTTACGCAAATTTTCTGGCAGATTGTCATGTTTCTGATGGTTTGGCAAAATGATTGATTACTTTGTTCCTGTTCGCCTGAACGGGTTGAAAACGGCAAAAAGGCGACGGGGAAGCGCAGGCTGTGATGAAAGTGCCAAATCGGAAATGCAAAAGTGGGCAGGTGGATGGGGGAAAACGCTGGATTGATTGAAAAGGGTTTTTTCAATAGAAAACCCCGATCGAGGCAATCAATTTCCAGCGACTTTTTGATGTTAGGCAATTTGTATTTCATTTCATAAGTTCTATAGAAATCGAAAAGTATAAACATGACAGTGGTCAAGGGTTGTAAAACTTAAAATTAAAACACTATTCCTTGACTCTTTGCTCAAAATTTGTTAGCAATAATAAAAACACACAAACTGTTTCAAGATCTCCAAGTTTAGTTTGAAAAGAAGTACCAAAGGTTACTGTCCTAAAAAATTATTTCGTTTGCAGTTCTAAAGTGCATCAGCATTGTTTTCCAAAAAAAATAAATGTAAATGAGTTTAAAAATTGAAATTTCAATCTTTAAGTTTTGCAAGCCATGCCGATAGACAAACTCCGAGCGATGCCAGTGGACAAGATCCTGAGTTTTCGCAGGAATCCCGATCCGCAGCAGCAACAAAGACAGCAAACGGATGAGATGGAGGAAATTCCCAGGTTCTTGCCAGCACAACTTCTCAATGACGATGAAAAGGCCAAGGATGCGGATCGCAGAATGCTGGATAGCGATTCTATAAGCACGGAGGATGCCGATAGGCTGCCTCCTCCCAGGAGATCTCCGGTCTCGATGATGAATCTCCAGAGGGAGTTGTACTCGCCCAATCAGTGTTTGAGTGCCCTTAAATCTATTGCGGCTGTAATTACCATTTGCATGGTATTCGCCATAATTCCCTTGTATCGCCGCCAAAAAATGGAAAAGGATGCCGGTCTGAAGATGATCCTTCTGTGGAACGATCATCCATTGGCAGGTCAATCCGCGCATATGGAGTGTGGCTGCCTGGTCACCAATCGCAGAAATCATAACGACAAACCCTTCGATGCAGTGGTCTTCAATGCGGATTTCCCCTACTCCTTTGAGGGTTTGAATAGCACCAAACGTTCTCCTGACTTCTACTTAGTTTATGCTGCTAAAAAACCACTGAGCTCTTTGTCGGGTCTTAGGGATCCCCCCTTTAATTTAACCATGACCTACCGCACGGATTCCCAGTTGATTTGGACCGACTACTATTTCTCTTATTCGAATCTGGCAAGGCGACTGAAATCGTTCCGTACTCCCAGCAAGAATTTTGCCGATGATATGTCAAGTGCAATGATCCAAAGTTTTGAGAACAAAATGAAGAAGAAAACTCGACTGGCTGTTTATTTGATATACGAAGTGAATCAGAATACTCTTGCGCAGAGCCTTTATTTGGAGGAGCTGCGAAAGTATGCGGATTTTGATGCACATGGAAGTTGTCTGGGTTCCCATGAGTAAGTTAATGAGGGGAATTCCCTTTAATTTTAGTGTGAGCATATTTAAAAGTTTGATACTTAGTTGCAGTTACTACCACTTCATGCTGATCTTTGAGCCGACTGCCTGTCCGGATTATCTGCCACCCGAGATGTACATGGCCATGGACAAACTTTTGGTGCCTGTTCTGATCGGTGGAGGAAATCTCACCAACTTGGTGCCACACCACTCGTTTATCAGTAGCCGGGACTTTTCCACCCCAAGGGAACTGGTTGCTCACCTAAAGGATCTGGCAAATGATCCAGAGGAGTACAGGCGCTATTTCTGGTGGCACTCCCTCTACAAGCTGCGCCAAAGTGCCCAACCCTACTGCGCCCTTTGCTCCCTCATCCAGCAGAATCCCGAGGAGCGCCAGATTGGTCAGGGATCCTCCAAGCTGGCCTTCATCGACTGGTGGACCGAATACCACTGCCCCAATCGATCGACCACCTTCCTTTGAGTCCCCGAGAGATCCCCAATTATAATTACCAACGATCGCAAATTGCCCTCGTTCGGTGTGGTTCCATTTAGTTCAGTTGAGTTTATTCTTCCATCGTTTTGGGTTCTTTTTTTACTCTTCGGCGGTTTCTTGCTGGTTTAATTCCGCGGAATTTCGGCGGCACTCCATTGACCTCGCCGACAGCTCTCAAATGATGGGAGCTTAATAAGTTATACCCTATCGGAACGATCGGGGTACATAAAATTGTCTTGTCCTCAAGCAAATGGAAGGAATTTGTTATGAAAATAAATAGTACAAAAGCTTTACAGCCCTAGAGATCGGAATATTAAATTATTACTTCAATGTAAAATTAATCTAAAAAGTTTATGAAACGATTTTTATATTATTATCTTCTTATTAATTCAAGAAAATATTTATGTTAAGCAGTTACATTTTTTAGGCAAAAGCATTCAAATTCAAAAATGATTAGGTCATTTCTTCGTGATCATGGCACCCAATATTCGAATTCCTTCGCCCCAAAAACTGGCATAATTTCCCTCAGAATGTTTGGTTATTTTGGCAACTGGCTGGAAGGATGCGAGGATGCCTCGCATGCCAACCCGTGCCGGGCGGCCTGTTGAAATGCCCATCGGCTAATGCCGCCATATGGGACACCAATTGGAGGGCAAATGGGGCTCCGATGGGCCGAGGTGGAGGGAATTGCCTGGCAGCTATTGTCGCTCAAGTGGAGCCTTGTGCCTGGGAAAATGCCGAGACAGCCGTCACCGGCAATGGGCATAGATAAAGCAAATAGGGCAAACTTGTTCCACATTGTGGACCATTCCAGATGAAATGCAGATGGAGATGGCGATGGAGCGGAGGGAGAACCTGCGTTGGGCAGCCCTCGATGATGGGACTCCGAATGCGAACGAGTGGGCGACGACAAGACAAGGCGGTCCAGAAATGTGGGATAAGTTGCAGGGCGGTTGGGCGGAGTGGCGTGGCGTGGACTGGAGTGAAGGGGAGTGGAGTGGGGCGACTCAGGTGAGGAGGTGCCAACCGAACACACAATGCACGAAAAACAAACAGAATTGTCATGGGAAATATTTCACAGCGCTGCGAGTGAAGTGCCCGAGATGCTCCCCATTCCCCATTTCCCATTCCCATTCCCCCTGGTAACTACAACTCCCGTCTCCATCCTCGTGGCCACTGGGAATGTCTTTCAAAACGGTATCATATGCTCGTACACAAAACACTTTTCCTCTTGCCACACACAACCATATTTATAAGTTAAATGCTTCACTAAACAATAAGCCAGGGCGGTCATTTGGCCGGGACTGCACTGAGAAAAAGAAGACCCTTAATAGGATAAACCTAAATTTATGTTTATTAAATATTATTAGCTAATACGTTCAAACTTCTAATAATAATATATATAATTTCAAAAGAAAACATATTTTACCTATTCAATTGTAGTTTTAAAAGGAACATTAAACGATTCTGTTATTTGTTTCAGTGCATTATTCGAACTGGGCCTGGGACATGGTAAAATTGAAGTCGAAGGCGAGGCGATAATGAAACCAAAGTCAAGCACATCGAGTCAGTCCAGCCTTTCGGCCCTTTTGGGTTGACAGGTTGTCCCTTGTTGCCGCCCTGCCCTCCAGATCCCAGATGCTCCCTCCTCCCCAGCAAACCATTTTGGTTCTGGGAAGTTCTCATCCTCTCACTCCCTCGCGCCTCACTTCGTGTTTGCCCATTCTGTTATCAACTATTACAATATTTTTGTTTAATTGACAAACAGGTTTATCATTAACATTTTTCTCACTGCTCTTGGCTCTGGTCCCCAACTTCTCGAATGCGTTGGCGGCGGCCTTCTCCAGATTGTTTTTTGGAGTTTGGAGTTTCAGTTGGATACGGCGCTTCAGTTGACGCTCCAACTGTTTTCCCACACTGATTTTGGATTTCTGATTTCTGGACACCGTGAAGCAGCAGAACAAACTGAACCACAATGGGATGATGTGAGAAGTGTACTAACTGATCAATAAACAAGGAGTAATCGTGGAGGGAGATGCTTTACTCTGGGAAAACAAACATCATAAGTTTGTGTTAATATTGTATTTTTAATAACATTAATAATAATTCTTGATTTTTCCCCACTGTAAACCAAGCATTACAGTTTTGGTTTAAAAGTTTAACTACCTCAATCTAAAAATAAATGTCGCCAAAAAAAGCATAGAAGACTTTATGGTCTGCTACAACTTCTTTCCCACTTTGATATCTAAATACTTTACAGGCCTCCTCTTCAGCCTCGTAAACCGCTAAGTGCTACCAAAGTTTTTGGGATTAAAGAGCTTCTGGCCGATTCTGCGGCATCTTCGGCCTCAGCCTCTGTTTCTATTTCTCTCTGGCTTGTTTGCTTTTGGCGCTGCCGTGAAAATGCATTTCCCCCTCGGCCCCTCGGCCCCTTTTTTTTCCCAATTTCCCGACTCCGTGCGCCCGTTTTCTCACCTGAGGCAAAGAGTCCGCCTGCGGCTGCTGTCGATGCTCGTTTTAATTTGTTTGTTTACATTTTCGGCTGCCCCACCTGCAGCAGCGGTGAAGTTTGTTCCCATCTCGCGGCTGGGCGAAATGTTTGGAAATAGACGTCCATAGTATGGATGGTAAATGGAGGCGGAGATCGGGGAGCGGAGAACGGGAGGAGTAGGCTGCACCACTGGGAGTAAGGCGTGTGTTTTGGTGTTAACAACTCGACACTTCATTAATTGAAGTTGAAAAAGTGCAGCTATAAAAAGACTATTAAGCTCCAGGCCCACAACAATGGAATAGATCTGAACAGAACATGCACATTAGAAAATAATTTAATATCTAAATGTCTAAATATTATTGTTACCGTATTAGTAAAAAAAAAAATTAAAATGAATATTATGCCTTTTTTTAAGAATATGGTGTAATACTTAGAATTCGAATTTTGTATTTAATTTTTTTCTTCTTTTTTTTCTTTTTTTTTGTGAGTGCAACAGAATGAAACAATCAAAGTGAACTTTGAGTGGCTGCAGTGCCCATCAAATGCAGGGGTCTAACAAATTTAAAGACGATGGTGGGGAACTTTCTGAGACTCAGTTCGCATTAGACGCAAATTTGATGGCTATTGAAAAGTTCAATGGTTTCTTGCGTCTCTTGAACAGCTTCCCAGTTCCATCGAAAAACGAAGAGTGGCACTCAATTGAATGTGAGAGCTTTGTTTACCACACAAAATCCGAAGCGAGCACAAAGGAATGGGGAGACATCGAATCTGGGCTAATAGAGAAATCCAATGTGAGCATATCATAATTAGGAATTTGGCAAGACGGCATTATCTAGAGATTTTCCAATATTTCCAAATATTTAATGGAGATCTTTCAGGGGGAAAGAAGTTGAGCAAGAACCTATCTTCTGGCGGAGGAGTCCACTCCGATCTCTCCCCCAACCGATCCGATCGTCACACATAAATAGTTCACGAGCCATCCGAAGGCAGTGGCCATAAAAATAAATCTATATGCAAATGTGACTTCAGTTTAACATGCCACACCGACAGACAGACGCAGAGACATTCGAAGAGACTGGCGGGGAATTCGAGGGTGAAGCCTAAGCCTAGCCAAAAATAGTGGAGATAATCCGAGATCATTCGACAGCAGGAAGCCCCCTTGTTTTATAATCCTTTCCTTAGATGGTAAATCAAGAGAGCATATAATAAACAAAGATGTAGCTATCAAGTTTTTAATATAAAGTTTTTAAACTTAAATCTGTAAATATTATTATAGCTGCTTAATAATAATTAAGGCAGTAGTCGAATACTCCCCTTGCAAGTACCCTGTATAAATCGTTCCTTCTCGACTTTCAAGGACTCCTTTGCTGCCTCATTGCTGGCCAATCCCAGAATCCCTGGCGCAAAGGCGTCTGCAGTTTAGTGCCTGTCTCCGCGACTTTGAATCTTACAAAATGTGACAAGTTGCGGAATTATTTTTCGCAGAAGATGTTCTCCAACTGAAGGTACGTTCCGTTTTGTTTTTCTCTGTTCGGTTCGCTTTAGTTCGGTTTTGTTCTGTTCTGTTCTGCGTGCAGATGAGCTGAGATTGATAAGCGACGAGGAGCGTGAACAGCAGGCTGGAGTGGAGTCGCGAATGAATCCAACTCCGAATCCGCGTTTCTTGGTGTCTCTCTGTTGAGCGCGAGATGCAAGTGCTTAGATAAACGCAGCGATTTATGTGGAAGCTCCTGTGAGCCGCTGGGCGGAGCAGCCAGCGATGACAACAGTAGCTCCATCCCATCGAATGCCACATCTCCCGTTCCCCATTCCCCATCCCATTCCCATTCCAGGCAGCCGCGGAGGTGCCAGCAATTTAGAGGCGATTACAACCGGCAATGGCATTTTAAGTGGCCATTGTCAGGACGCGATCTGTGGGCGCGTGATAAGCGCCGGCTCCCGTGTGGGCGATCGATTCCCCAGGTGTGGGAGTGGGTGGCTCCAAGTCATTGAACTAGGGATGCTACCAGAGGTGACAACCTATACTTCCTATACATCCAGATCTCACTTTATTTGTTGTATAACAAAGGTAGAAGAAGGTAAATAAATGACTTTGTTGTAATGATCAAACATTTGTTTGCACATTTTATCTTTACAATATTGTATGGATTTAAAATTTGGGAAAAGGTGTTGTAAGAAATGATCTATAAAGATTCTTTAACCTCAACTTCCTTTTACTTCGCATCACTAATAATTTGTTTAGCCAAAATGTGAACATAGAAATACCAATCAAACATTTAGTCCTTGCACTTCATACACTTCAGACCCGGGGATTAATTTTCTTCGGCACGTACGAGGGATTCTTCTTCTGGGCCACCTCCTCGGCCCACAGCTTGTTGAGGTACTCCTCCAGCTGGGCCACCACGTCCTCCTCGCCCTCGCCGTCCGAGCAGGTGGCGAAGTCGCTGCCCGAGGAGCCGGAGGACGAGGTGGCCTGGCACACATTCGTTGCTTCGCTGCAGGAGTCGTGCTTGCAGTCGATGGGGCAGTGGTGGTTGTCCCAGTCCTCTGGCGGCTCCATCGAATCGGCGTAGCTGGTCTCCTCCTGCTCCTCTCCGCCGGTCGTCAAAGCCACAGGTTGGGAAACGTGAACGGGTTCCTCCAGACGATACCACTTGACCTTGTAGGAGTCCTGACCGCACTCGCCGAACTGCTCGCCAGTCAGCTGATCGATGTTGCACTCGCAGATGAGGAAGGGCGAGTTGCACTGCTGGCACCTGGGCAGGTTGACCTCGTGATTGATGATGGGACGCGGCTTCTTCATCTTAATTCCCTTCTCCGTTTTGGGCACTTGCAAGCCGCAGAGGATGCAGGGTTCCGGCAGATCTGCACCCTCCGAGAGCTTGATCTTCGTCATCGGCCGCTGACCGGCCTTGGGATGTCCGGGAACCTCCTGCTTGGAGCAGCCCTTGCAGGGACATCCCGGCACCAGGAGCGGATCCGATCGGGTGGTCATGCGCTGGAACAGTGACGCGTACACCAGATTGATCTGCCGCTCGTAGTGCTTGTGGGCCCAGAAGAAGGCCGCCTTGTAGTTGTCGAATATCCTGGAGGTCTTGTGAGCAGCGTGCATCCAAGCGGCATACTGGGTGTGCACCGCCATCGCATCCACAATCGGATTGCTGATGGTCACCAGGGGTTTGCCGTGGTAGAAGGCCTTGAAGGCCCTCTTGATGATCGCGTAGGTGAGCATCGCCTCCACGGGTTCCATTTCGCACCTCAGCCGCAGAGCCTGCAGCAAGTCCTCGCGATTCAAACGTGATCCTGGAGCTGGTGCCGGTGGACAGGTGGTGCGCAATCGTTCATGGTAGACGAAGGCCCGCTTGATTATCGACCTGGCAGCACGGGATTTGGTGGTACTGATGCCGCAGATCAACATTATCTGCGCCAGACTCTTCGCTATGTCCTCCACATTGTCATCGAACAGCTGGTAGGGATCCAGTTTCCTCCTGCAGTTGCAGCAACAATGTTTTATTCCTCCAGGAGGAACTCCTGCCTCTTCTTGCAGCTTCCTTGCCCTCTCGTAATTGTCCATTGCAAATTTGGAGCTCAAAATAAAGTAGTCAATAAACTATGCACCAATGTAATTTTGCACTGTTGCTTCAGCGACAACTTAAATTACACAATTAGTTCTGATGGAGAATAAAGTCACAGGTAAGTTTATTTCAAGGCCTAGTACTAATATGATTTTTCGGTTATGTTGTTACAAGTTTAAATTCCTGTCAAAGAACCACAACAGGTGGACAGAAAATATTTGAAAAAGTAATAGTTTAAAAGAAAGTCAAGACCAACCAGATGGAAACCTATCTACTCATCCTTAATAAACCAATTTGTGAGCAAAGTTGACACAATTTTAGTTTGAAAATTTCCCAAAGCCAATAAAGAATGCATTCACTGGTGAGATTAGAACTAATGCCCCGACCAGGTTTACCATAATAGAACAATAAACGGTTTGTCCCAATATTTTCCCCAGCCTTTTAATTTGGTTATTTGACCCACTGTGGCCCATCTAGGATTACACGGACCCCACACAAGAATGCATTATCATCTGGTCTCGGTTCCACCGATTGTAGCTGCAATTATGCTAAATAGATTGGGGCCGACTGACCATCGAAATAAATAAGAGAACTGAACACGACAGCCAAACGATGGCTGTTGTGTCAGACCTAAATTGTTCAAATAAATTAAGTTGTAGCTTTCGAATGGATCCGGAGATCGGAGATCGGAGAACGCAGATCGGGGATCGGGGGGATCGGTGAGTGGAGATCGAGGTCTTTGGTGTGGGGATTGGGGTAAGTAAATACGGGAACGAAAACGTTCTGAGGCCGCCGCCTGTTGCATTGTCATTTGATAAATTATGATATTTGATCAATTGTTCCGCTGCGGTAACTGGAAGTGCTGCCTCGGATAAACATATATGTAAGTATGTGCAAGAGTCTGCAGTCCGGAGAAGATGAAGATGTCTCCTGGTCTCTGGTCCCCGGTCCCATGCCCGCATCAAGTTTGCCGAGTGAACTTTTGTTGGGTTTACATTGTAATGGCATCTGGCGGGGCAAACACACAAACACCCAGTCAGCCAGCCAGTCAGTCAGTCAGTCCCATATCCATTCATCTGCATAATAGAATTCCCCTAGGAGGAATGGGGAGTGGGGAAATGAGGATGTCGAGGGGGTGAGGCTGCCTCTTTATTGTGGCTAATAGGCCTCTCGGCCGCTTTGTTGTTGTGCCGCCTTGGCCGCCTTCGTTTGCATTCGCTTTGGTCACCACCACCTCTCCATCTCCATCTACATCTCCACCTTCATCCACATCTCCATTCTCCATCAGCTCACCATCAACATCTCACTCTGGCATTGGCATTTCTATGTGGATTAATGAATGGCAGCAGCACCAAGATGACGCTTGGATGCCGGAGGTGGTTAGGAGTAAGTAGAAGGTGAGATGGACACTGGAAACAAAATCCTAGATTAATTTAAATCTGACAAAATCTGTCCAGAAGTCTTGGCAAAATCTGTATAATGCCTGACATTCTTTTACCTATATAATAAGTATTTCCATTTAATAAGGCAAACGTAATATTTAACAACCAAGATTTAAGACTTAGTTTTCCAGATTTCCAACTGCATTTTCCTCAGTGCTTTGGAGGAGACATGTGTTTACCTTTCATATAGACACACACATCCATTGTCGGGAGCAGTCAACAGGCCCCTAATTATGTGTAAAGGTGTTGTATGTGCTCCTCGCTCCAAGATTCCGCCCCTTCCCATTTTTGTCATCCATCTCGCCGAGCTACAAGGGTTAATTAGTGTGGTATACAGGATTGTCGGCGGTACAAACGGATATCGAGAGTCGTAGATGGCCATATACAATTGGTGCGAGCTACTGGAAAAGCTTCTGGTTCTGGTTCTGGTTCTCCTTTGATTGTAACTTATTGATTTTCTGGAGACAGCTGCTCCCTGATACCCTCCCCAGGAATGTTTGACCATTTGCACTTTTATGACCCTCGACGAATCGAAATCGAATGCCCCGGAAAATATATAAACAATATTAAAACGGGGAAAAGGGAATGCGCGCCAAGTCATCATAAAATGACAGAAGAGGACAATAAAAATAAATTTAACACAACATTTGTTTTGGGCATCCGCAAACGCAAACGCCGGCTTATCCTGCGCATCCTGCTGCTGCCATGTTTTGTGCAAGGACCCAATAACAATCAAGGGGCAGCCAAAATATTTTCAATAATAAATCTATTTGATGGTCCACGGACTGGAGTTTTTACGATCGCCGCGTTGACAGCAGGCGCAGTCATTAAAAATCTCACCGAAAGTTATGTCTCTTCGCATGATTAATTGTTGAGGATGTGTCAGATCGTTGGGGTTGTTCGCTCCACCGGGAAAATGTACACAACATCATGAAATATATTTGTATATCGATGGCATGGGAATTAATTTACATTCACTTTCCCTTTGCCTAGGAATTGGGAAGTAGAAGAAGTGCATCTGGGGTCCTAAAAGGCCGCACTTGACCCTTGACCATCTGTGGTCATCGCAGGGCTGTCAACTAATTTGTCCAGTTTGTGGTCCGTGTCAGGTGTTGTAAATATCGCATTTAATTGAACTGTCCCCATGTGTCAAGTGTCTAGGAAAGGCCATAAGCTGTATATATAATTTCTTAGCTCATCGACGTTGAGAGGAAGTAACATAAGCGAGAGGAGGAAGGCTTCCCGCTCGAATCAGGCATAAGAGCATTGTTCATTTGCACAGTATTCTGTGTAAATAAGCTTCATAATTGCACTCAAAGTAGATTACGCAGAGCAAGCTTCTTGATGAATTTAATTAAGACCACTACACATAAATTATTAGCTAGGACCTTACTGAGGAAAACTAATTAGTTATAAGTTGTGTTCTCCTATATTTAGGCTACACTTCTAATATAACAACCAACTTCTTCAAATAGTTTTAAATATGAAAAATCAGCTTATGACACATCTCCAGCGATTCAAAACTCAGCATCTGCTCTTTTCTTTTCCCTTTTCCAGTATATAAATCAACAGCTCACTCAGCAACACGCTTGTAATTGCTTAATTAGATTGCCACTAAAATTATAATTTGAGAAAAAGAGGCTGCCCCGAAAAGCTGAGCGCAGATTGCAGGCAGAGAATCCAAAGGACCTCCGCTGCAGGAGCAGCTGGCGCGTAAATCAGATTTGCTGACAGGGCTCGACTAATTTTAACCCTGGCACTTGAGGCCCAAGACTCTGGGTCCTGGCCCCTAACCCAAGTATCCTATCCCGGCGAAGTGGAGTCGAAATTCGTTATCCTTTCAAGTGGCTGCGCGTGCGCGGGGAACGCGTGCTAATGGGGCCAAAAGGTGCAGGATGGTTCGGGGATCAGGAATCGGGGATTAGGGCTACAATCAGCGTAACTCCCTACCCGTTAATTTATGCGTGTCCTGCGCAAGTTCAGCTGCACCTTGGAACCTTTGTCCTTGCAAGGATTTGTGTGTGTGTGTCAAAGGACATATGTTAAGGACGGCGACAGGCAGACACATGACTCTGTTGACACACAAGCTGCACGGAGAATATTTTTGTGCATTTTAACTTTTAAATAACTAAATTATAAAATATATATAAATTATACCAAAGATCAAATAGGGCTTTCAAAAAAGGATTGGAACTAACGCAAAAAAGTTTGAGTTACATTAATAAGCAAATATTTAGATTTTATAAATGATTTAAACCCTAATTTTTTCTCCGTGTAATATACATAAGCGGTGGCCGCAGAGGGACGGGGTAGGAGTCCTTAAGGCAACATCTAAATGGTATTTATTGGTTTGCCAAGCCGGCGACGGCTGTCGAGCGCATCCTGTGCTAGCTGGCAGCGCGGCAAGGATTGAGTTACGCGATGGCGACACATTTGTAAACAGGCGGCCTGATTTACACACACCGTGCCTGCCGGTAACAGGACATCCACAAGGATATGGGACATCGGGCAGGGGACACGGAACCCGCAACCCGGGACTTCCGTGCCAGAAGTCGTCGCCAGGAGCGGCGCTCCTTATTTGCCAAGACATTAGGCAGCAGAAACAATAACAAAAACAGCCACCAGTCAGCGGGAAAAACTGAGTAAGGACAGCACCGCGTGTTTGCTGTCAGTCGAGGGATCACCTCGAACACGAAGATCCTCTGATTGACAATCGACAAATTTCTTTTGGCATTTATCAATGGAACCGCAAGGATCCGAAGGACTTAGAGCACGGACCTCCTGTCGCGATGATGAATCGAAGGATTCGTGTTTTTACACGCAAGTTGACGGGACCAACACGGATTTGCTTAAGTTAATATTGTTAATGTTGTTGCTCTTCAGACGATTAGAAAGACATTTTTCATATAATTTGGAGTGAGGGAAGGGTTTCAGAGAAGCATGATTAATTATGAAAATTAGGTCTTGTAACGGAATAATATTTAAACAATTAACAAGTCTAAAAAAAAATTATCAACAAATGATATTAATACTCCTTCAATATATTGAATTTTAAATTTAGTTAAAATTATCCGATATTATGGTTATAATATCCAATATTATAATATTATGGTACATACAAATAATTTAAGCATAAAGAAGCTCGATAAATGTACATGCAGAATACATTAAATCACACAAGAAGGTGGGAACCCTAAAGTCGGCCTTTCTAACAGGCCATATTTTCTGTGTGTTGGCAATGCTCTCAAACCTTTTAAGCCCTAATAGTGCCAAAACCCCTGTGTGGTCACACTTTGCCTGCAACAATTTAAATTCGCAGCCAAAAAAAAAAAGCCGAAAGAGCAATAAATTCATGTTAATAACAGTTGCAACAGCAAGCGACCCCTCCCGAATATTCTCGATGCCCAACGGCAACTGGCCATAAATATCGGCCAAATGGGTTGACAGTTGGCAAGAGGAGTTAACGAAATAAAAAGTAAAGGGAAACCCTTCCCTGCCAAAATGTAAACTCCCGAAATAGTCCAGAAATGTGATACGAATCAAGTGCCACGTGTCGCCCCTCCACTTGGGCACTTAATACTCCTTTTTGCGAACAATTCTCTCTCGCTTTTTTCGGGGGTCACAACTGTTCCTCAAGATCCGACGAAACTCAAACCGAACGACAGATGCGCGTGTCTGAAATTGTGTTACACTTTCGCTCGAGGAGCGCCGTTTATCAGGTCCCAAAAATCGTTCGAGGGGCGATCCTCGGGGGTTTTCTGTGGAGGCGTGTGTCGAGGGGGCGGGCACACATCTCGTTAAACCGCAACCGAGGGCGATCGGATCTGGCCGTCAGGACATCTGTGATCTGGTTCCGTTGGCGGACCTCGATCGGCGATACAATCGGGGAGATCGGGCGAGACCGTGAAATGCAATTGCCATGGCCTAGCGGTTCTCGCAGCCCGTTACGCGAAATTGATGGGCCAGGTTGCATGGCTCAGTTCGTTGCTACCTGTCAGGTACACTGAACGAAATACAGAGTATTTATTTTTTCAATTTTGTGATACAAAACTTTGCAACTTTCCAAAAAATTCAATTCTCTAGCAAATTGCATTATTAATTAAATTTTTATTTTTGGGTTGCTTTTATAATTTGATATTGTTTTCCTTTTTTTCAAGTGCAATTCGAGAAACATCCAAAGTGTGCCTCCTTTAAGGAGATGTTCCAATTAAGATCAGTATGACCAGATGTTGTTCCCCAGCAGTCGATCCACCGTGTGCTTGATGGCCAGGAATGTTTCTCTTAGCATCTCCCACAGCTGTGCCGAATGGAATCTGCAAAAATACTGCACGTCTATAGGAGTTTTGTAGGTTTCTCGATCCCGTAATCGGATATTCACCGACCACTTGGCATGTGCCAAGGAAATGGACAAACGGCCGGCACTTGAAAACCAAAACCAGAAGTGACCCAATATCCACTTGAATTTCATTTCATTCGGTCTCGTTTCCAAAATTTTAGCGCCCACCTTTTAGACGGAGAGCCACCCGACTCGAATTCCCTGCCCTTCATTTCGGGGTGTCAAAGGCCGTGTTAGCTCGTGCAGCCTTTGACATGGGAGTCCCCATCCTGCTCCTGCTCCTGCTCCTCGGGAGAACCCACAAAGTTGCGAGTCAATTTGTCAGCGGACGGGCATTGAAATTGAAAATTGCTGCGCAGCCTTCGATATAAATGGGACTCGGTAATTCGATACCAAGGCAGCTGCCGATTGAATGCAGCCTGCAGATACAAGATACTGGGCGTTATTACGCAACCTTTTGTGGCCATTTGAACGAAAAGGTGGCATTGCAGCAGGAAAAGCTTCACCATCCGCAGCCGGTGAAACTGAGATAGGTTTTCCAATAGAAGCCACATACACACACACACGAAAAGGTAGAACGGATGCACACGATTCGCGGATACTGACAATAAATCGTAGATAGAACACAGAAACTTTTAAAACTTTACTTCAGAGCTATTATTTTAAAACAAAGTAGACTGTAAACTCTTTCTTGTCTGTAACCCTTATTATCCATATTTTGATTTATGGATTTAAGTTCAGATTTACAAGTTTCAAAGTGTTTTCGAAATTCAAGAAGAACTTTCAAGTTCAGCCTGAAAACAGGAAATATTTTGTCTAGGTTACTAGCTCAGTCTCGCGACGACTGCTTCTCCTGGAGCTCCCTTGTAGAGCCCACCGATATCCCTCCAGAGGCTGCCACTCCTCTTTGCTGCAGGACGGTAATGCCGGCTGCTCAATGCGCTTCAGAAGATCCAGCAGAGTTACTCTGTCCTGGTTCAAAACTTGCGGTACAAACTCCTGGATGACTCGCAAGAAAAGAAGGTTTTCTGGAGCATTCGTTGGCTCTTCGTGAACAGACTCCAAGACGAACATAATGCCAGCTCTGTGAAGGGTGACCACACTATTGCGATTCTTCACCAGATCCGAATTGAATGTCTCCGCCAAACGCTTGGCCAGTGCAATTAGTTCGGAGAACTCCGGAGAGCTGGAAGCCCGAACACCATCTCCGTCATTTTTGGTCATTACCTTCCCGAATAACAACAAACAGGTGTGCATTACGGTCATTCCAAAGTGAACCGAGTTGATTTCCAGCGCTAGTTCCAGACAACACCTCATTATGTCGCCAAATGGGGCATAGAACTGCAAAACAAATAAGGGTGTTGAATAAAATGATTTCTTTGCATTGATTGTTTCCAACCTTTTCGTAATACTGAAAGACCTTGCAGGCTCTCATGGCGGGGATCACGTTAAAAGCCACCAATTTACAGTAGCTGGTCACAATGCGGCGCATGCTGGTCAGCCGATCAAAGTAGCTCTCTTCCATCAATGTCGAGGGTTTCAGCGCAAAGAAATGTCGCAGGGCAAAGCTCTCCAGCAACTCCAACTCATTCAGGGAGGGTTTGTACACGATGGAGCGTACCCAGGAGCTGGGACTCTCACTCAGTTGATCGCCATATATCAGAAACAGATCGCAGATGAATGCAAAGCACTGAAAGCAATTAACGTGTTAGCTGTTCGTTCGCATAAACCCATTCTCCCACCACTCACATCGTATTGAAGTTCCCTATTGTTTCCATTTACAAGCTTTTCGAAGGCCACATATAGAAAGTCATCCAAGTGCTTCTTAAGGACAGCAGAAGTCTCCTTCATGTTCTCATTGACTAAAGCCTCCTGCTTGAAGCTTTTCAGGTCCCAGCTTAAGCTGAAGTAGCTGGTTTCGAGGAACAGAGCAACCGCCTCTGGCGGCAGGTCATCTCTTTCCGGCTCCTCGCGTTCCCTGACCTCTCTTTTCAGGCTGGACAGGAAAGTATCGGTCAACTGCCAGGCGCTTAAGTTAAAAAACCCATTCAGGGCTGATACCAAACGCAATGTGATCATCAGGCGTCGCGCTCGATTTTTTGGGGATTTCGCGTAGCGCAAGGATTCAGTCGAAGAAGAAGAAGACGAGGTCGATGATGAGCTGGCTGGGCCATTCCTTTCCTGCCAGGTGCGCCGGGCAATCTTGAAGTTGGTCACCGCATTGTTGAGCAGCTCCGTTATCTGCGACCTCGTCGAGGGAATTTCGTACAGGACCTCCAGGGTGTGGGCTCCCCTCCGGAGCACAGTAATGTCGGTCTGTGAGAACATAATGTTTTGGAGCTGATCCATTAGCTTCACAATGTGCAACCAATTATCCGTATTCTGGTAGTAATCTAGGCAAAAAAGCTGCGGGAGTTCCAGGAGTTTGGCTAAATCTTCGGGCCGATGAATATATTTAAGAAGCAACTGGGGTAAACTGGGTGCCAGTAAACTTGTGATCTTTTTTGGGCCCCTGGAATCGTATTCCTTTCCAGATCTTTGGTATATCTCCCGGGTGGTATTTCCCCGGTAATCGCCTGCTTTACTCCTCGGAAGAGGATTTCTATCAAAGCTGAGCTCTCAGCTTCGGTTAAATTTGGGTTCTGGTCCACCGATAGCATTCCTATCATGGGCTCCCAGTCCAGAACTATTTCGGAGTTTTCGAACAGCGCATCCACAAGATAAGCCGCATGCTCATGTTCACTATCGTTGAGGAACAATTTCAGCAGACGAAGCATTTTTTGCGAAAAGGGTTCTCCTGCAATCCCCATTCCTCGCAGATTGAAAAACTCCGCTGCTGTCTGAGCCAAGCCTCGATTCGCAGCAAACATAAGTGACTCCAGCTGTCGGCACTCGTCCTCACTCAGAATATCTGGAGAAGATCGATACAAGTCGGTCAAAAGCCGGAGGGATTCCTCTCCCATTTCACTCTCCTTGTCCACGCAAATAACGAGGAGAAGTTCCAGGGATTCCTTGCCCAGTGCCACACATGTAGAACGAAGATCCTCAATACGGCAAAGCTCTAAAATGTTTGTCAAGCTGCACAACCTCACTTTCGCCGAGCTATCCTGCAAGGCCTCGAAGAAAAAGCGCAGGCGATTTGGCTGAAGGTGGCAATCTGGATATTTTCTGAACCACATTCCAAGTTCGGAGAGGCAGAGATGCCTTATGTCGGTCACAACATCCCGGAATCGATCCATGAAAAAAGAACTGAACATCCGCATCCACAGGGGCTTCAATATTCCATCGTCCACGGAATGAAGATCTTTTAAAATTGTCATGACTTTAAGACCTGAAAAAGAAGTAGAGAACACATTTAATTTAGTACCTAATATCATTATTAAACAACTTACCAATCATGGTGCTAGTATGACGAAAAGGACGAACACCAGACTCCGAGCAAACCATCAAAAAGTCTGTGATCACAGTCAGAAACACGTTGTCGAAAAAAATGGGAGTGCCATCGGCCGCACTCAAAAGAGCTTTCAGAAAACTAACAACTTTTTCCACAAAGGAATCGGCCGTCTTCATTATCATAGGATAATACATGCTAACCTAAGAAGGGGGAAAGTTAAAATTAATAACTCTACCATTTACATAACATATTTATTTTTCACACTTACATTGCGAAACTGGTAGGTGCCAGCTTCCAGTATATCCTTGTATGAGAATGGCATTTGGGTCTCCTTGGGAATCTGGTAATGGCTGCCACTTGCCTCCACCACAAACTGCATTAGATGAACCAAAGCGGCTGAGGGATTCTGCATATACAAATCAACCGTCTGGTTCGCTAAAATCTGAAAGAATATTTTCTACTAGTTAAGTTAAAAGGTTACTTATCGTATATTTAACTTACTTCATGGTTATGTTCTTCGCCCATCACACATTTCAGCAATGTTGCTTGCCATTTGGGACTCTTACTGCTTTGCTTGCCTTTTTGGGAACTGCAAAATTTGAGGTTATTTTAATGACATGCAGTTTTTAATGGCTTCAAAGCTTACCTCGAATGTTCCTTTTCTGCTTGATACTCAATCTGATCAGCAGGCTGCGTTTCACTTGTTAAATCACTCATTATCACTCACTTTTAGTTTTCAACAAAATTGCGTACTAAGAAAGAATCAAACCACTAGTAAGAAAAGTCACGAGACAAAAATGTCAGCAAAAAGAGATGATTGGTACTGCCAACTTATAAAAAAGTAACACATGATGAATGAACCGTAATGATAAAAGCTCGCCCTAGGGTTGTAAAGTATTTAAAAAAAATAACTTAACGCATTAGCTTTTGCAACACTATCGTTATAAATGTTTTCAAGCATTAAAAAAAAGTATAAAACGAAATAAAAGGATAACTTGTAGTTTTCACTCTTGTCGAGCATAATGCATAAAAACTAGTCTACTTCAAATTAATAAAATAACACATTTCCTCATAGATTACTTCCCGTCGTCACCCTGTAAAAATTTTCCAGTAAACTCGAAATGCAACCCAAAAAAAAACTTGTTAAATTTCTAACCTGCTTGCAGTTTTCCCACATTCACCGCGAAATAATGAAATCCAGGGCAAATAAAACCGCAGAGATTCTCATACTCGAATCGAAAACGAGCCAGGTAGCCGATCTTTAAGGGCACAAAACAATTAGCCAGGCCCACAAAATGATACACAAACAGAGCGCAAATTGGGCAGCCACTTGTTCGACCTCAAAGCGAAAGCGCCGCCAATTCAAACGGACTAACAAGGACCTCATAATCATGCCCATTCCCTTCTGATCCGATCTGATCCGAGCCAGAAATAAACACAAATATTGACGTTGCCTATCGCACGCGATCTCCGCTCCTCCCCAGGAGTATATACGTACATATAGTCGAGAGATCAGAGGCCTCGACCGCTGACCAATTCGGCATGACTTGGCAAGTTGGCAGCTCGGAATTATTTCAATCTGCGCTGATGACGCGGCTTCTTTTCGGCGGTGGCACGATAAAAAGCTGGCGATAACGTGCCTGATGCTCTGCACTTTTTTCGGGAGTATAGGGCGAAGTGATTAGAATCTACGATTAATCCTAAATGTTTGTTCAAAATTAAATATATTCGTGTTAGACGATTATTATTATTAGTGACTTAAGAATGTCTGTAAAAATTTGTAGATCTCGAAAACAGTTAGTAATATTTATTACAATTATTTAATTGTATTTAAATAAAATTAAAAAAAAAAAAACATTTAACTAAGTTCCGATTTTAAAAACTGAAGGGAATTGGTAAGTCTACTCCTACTACTAAGATTAAATTTGATTTATCCCAAAAGCAGGGCATTCCTGGAATTTCCAATCCGTCTGAAGTCCAGGCAAATATTGACGTTCGGGGATTGGAAATTGGCGCACTCCAAAGAGTCGGCCAAGCCAGCTGCCATTGATTGAAAGATCAATCGAGATCGAGGAGATTGCGATTCCGTTTCTCAATCCCGGACAAGCTGATTTCAGCTGCCGTAAGGTAATTGGAGTCCACCTACGGTCAAGGCAACTACCATTTCTCGGCCTGTTCTGTGCCAATCTCATTTCATATTCAAAACGATTCCTTTTGTCCATTGTTTGATTGCCCGAAATCTGACCTTCACCCTGTGCGTCCATTGTTGCCGTTTTGCCATTTTGGCATTTGCCAGTCGGGCGGGGAATTAGCCGCTGTCCATTCAGCGTTCTGCGGCAGCTGCCGTGGCGCTCGTGCTGGCTCCTTAGATTCCCCCCCGTCCTGCTTGGACTCCCTAATCCCTCTTCTTTTGGCATTGAAATCCCCCGATGAACACACCTGCCCCAGGACGCGGTGCGTCATCTGTACACAATTAAAAGAAGAAGCTTTGTAAATTCAAAGTGTAAAAAAGAACATTCGAATGTCTTACTAAAGAAATAATTTTTAAAGTTTTACAAATAATAAATCTAAAAGTAGCAAATATTAAATAAGGAAACCAAAAGACTCAACGTGTAAATCAGAGAGTTTTTCTAGATTTGTTTTCTAAGTGTAAGTCCCTGAAGTCGTGCTTTACTTCATCCTTCTCTCAGGTGAAGGTGGCTCAACAATAAACTCGCCTTTTGGCCGTGCAGTTGCCTAATTGACAGTAAAATTGCGCACTGCTTTCCTCCTGGCGGCTGTTTTCGCCACTTTGTTGCAACTTTCGAAGGAAATTTGCAGTTGCGAAATTGTAACAAAACAAGAAAACAAGTAGGCAAGAAGCCAGGAAATTCAGTCAAGATTAAGTTTAGCCAGGGCAAATGGAAAATCTTAAATTTTGTTTGAGTTGTAGCCAAGATTTGGTGGGCTTCAAATAAAGAGCTTTAAAGAGAACATTACTTTTAATATGTATTTTCTTTTAGACAATCAATAAAAAGTAATTAAGTTTCAGTAAAGTAATAAATAGTTTCAGTTAATCCTTAAATAAATCACAAAAAGAACCGTAGATTAACAGAATCAAGTTCAGATATCATCACCAGAGATAATACCACGTTCTTTATTGTCCGACGGACATGAAAAATCATCTCGCCGTGTCCAGATATTCCTGATGTTCCCATAATTGGGTCAATTGTTGTGTGTTACGGCCAGTTTCAGTTGAATAAACCAAACAAATATGCCCGAACAATGACAGTTAACCAGTCAAAGGGAAAGGGGGAGGGGAGTGTAGGTGGCCACATTGCACCGCATAATTAATCAAAGCGGCACGCGGCTGTGGGCGCCACAAAGCGAGCCGACAATGCCAAACCCAGAACTCGGATCCGAAACCCCAGCCAAAGCCGAATCCGAATCCGCAGCGGAGCATCCCGCCCAGCGCACGTGAGCTCGTCGAGGCGGAAGGGCAGGCAGGCAGGAAGGCAGGAACTTGGGGCTTCGAATTGGGAGGTGCTGCATACGAATGAAGGCCGCCCTCTTCCGCATTTAATGGGGAAGCCAGCGGATGTGGATACACAGCATTAAAGTGGATGTGGACACCCGCACAATCGTGGACTTGCCACGGATCATGTGGGTGCCCACTTCCAGTCGCCGTCTGGCTTCGAGTCTCGGCCTCAGTCTCGACTGCAGATCAAGTCTAGGGCACAGGAAGCGGCGCTGGAAAACCAGTTGGCAATTGCTTCATTCATAAATTGGCAAAGGCGTTAGTCTCTAGAGCTGAGCGTTCAAGTTCCACACTGAACTAGTTATTATTATAGTTATATTACCCATATAATTACTTATTTTCCAAGAAGCACACCTCAAATCTTTTGATATTAAATGTACAAACAAATTGCATTCCAATTTTTATTTTGACAGTATTGTTTCTAAAGACTAGTTGACAAACATTGCATTTATTTTACTGGCTAACAACTTTGTCTATCGTCTTGAACCAGTCAATGGGAACCTCTTTAACCGCAAATAAGTTGCACAACTCTTATGGCAAGATGAGTCACGCCCTGGAGTTGAGCCACTAGCGATTACCTACTCCTCATCCTCATCCAGCTCCCCAATCCCGAGCCCGATCCCCCGGCTCCTCCACCTTCTGTGACCGCCTCTTCAACTGCAACAACTAACTGCTAATTGACACACCTCGACGATGGCATCACGTGCCCCATTGCCAGCCAACCAGTGGAGATGAGTCATCCGGCGAAGAGCACGTTGCCAAAACCCGCTTGCCGTTGCCATTTATGAATGGAGCCGGGTCTAAAAACTCTAAACTCCTCCGGGCCTGGGACTTGGAACCCGAGAGAGCTGGGACCATGAAACTCCTCCATTCAGCTCCACTCCATTCAATTTCTTCTATGCGACGTCAAAAGTTGTTTGTTGTCTGGCTTCTGGTTCCCCGGCGATCCCCCTTTCCCCAATTTTTATTTTTTATTTTTTTTTTTTTTTTGCCCCGTCTGCGCGTTTTGCCTTAATAGTAAATCGTGTTTTGCATGCGCGAGTAGGTTGGTTCACCAGTTGCCCCCGCCAAATGCCCCTTATCGCTATTATTGTGGTGTAGGAGTTGTGGAAATCGAAATTTCATTCACTCACTCATTTGTTCATTCATGAAAATGTGCTTGAATCGGTCGTTTGGCGAGTTTCGTTGCTGGTGTCTGGATTACCAAGATTACGATATGATAGAGGTAAATAAACCGCCGGCTAACAGAGCGATAGAGAAGCCAGCGAAGTTAAGGCATTTCAACACGTCGATGGGTTTCTGGTTAAATGTTCGGTACGTTTATTGGGATATTAGAAGCCAAAATATCAAGCTTAAAGATAGATGAGCTGTCTATCTAATAGGCAATATTCTGGACATTTAGTTATGCGTTAGTTGCCTGCATGAAATTTTAAATTTAACCAAAGTATTATTATTTTATATATAGTATTATAAGTAATGAAAGGTAAAAAAAAATAAATTAATAACGATACCTTTAGCACAATTCTTATGAATTGGTAAAGGGTCAACCCAATTTGATTTAAAAGCTCTGGGAAGTGAGACACAAGTAATAAATAGTAGTAAATATATACATTGAAATGCAATCTCCTCTCCAATAAAAAAACATCTGGAGATAATGGAGGAACCCCCAGTGGACTGCCTAATCGGTTTAAATCTAACTGCGAAGAACGAAGCAAATAGGGTGGGAAAGAAAAGTGGAGCAGAAAGCTCCGAAGCCTGCATTCCGTAACGAATTTCCTCGAATCTTTCTTTCCCGACCTCTTGCCCAGTAAGTCAACAGAAAGAACTTGCAATAAACCAAACATAATTCCCAAAAATCGAGGAGGGGACCCACCTGCTCTCCCCCTCAACATTTTTTTATTTGGACGGGACCGCACAAGATGCCGAAATGTCAACACTTCTCCCGCCCGGCAGCTGATTCTTTGGAACTTGTTGTGGTCGCCCACAAAAAGTGCATCCAACGTCCAGGTCCATGGACGTCCAATCCCTGGTTGTGACCAACTTGAAGCGCCGGAGAGCAGCTGCCTTGTTAATGATGGTTTATGACCCGGCCGGTGACCATTTCTCAGGCTCATAACTCCACGATCCCGGGCCCAAGATTGATTGCCCCGTGTGGCAAGTGAAATTAAAAAGTGTTAAGCCACAGTCCAGAGGTGGTCCCTAATAAATCCCAGCAGCTAAACCCGGCCCAAGATCC